CTTCAGAATGAGTCAAAGAGACAATAAAGTATATAATTAAGAACAGGACTTGAGACTGTCAGGACTGAATTTTTCTTGCAACTACATTTGGCCTCTTCCACCCTGAATGGACAAAGACTACAACAGAAGTAAATAATCTAGTTTCTTTGCCAGAATAGAGTAAAGCTTTGAAAGGATTCTGAGACCTTTGTTGGGATTAGTGGAATAATTTAACAGGAGGTCATGTTATTAGGTAGAGGGAAAAAAAAAAAAGACATTTGTATTTCAGACTGCATGTACTGTCTGAGAATAAAGGGGGAAGAAAAATAAGCATGAAGATGCCTGAAGCTACTTTGCAATGAGGAAAAAAAGCCCTGACAGAAAGTGGATGAAAGAGAGGGAATATGGGAATAGGATTCTGAAAAAAACACACAAAAGAATTTATTTCACTTCCAGGCTAAAGCAATATTGTTTAGTTAACACTACTAAAAAGTTAGTTCTTCTCATTCTAAGTTGTGCAATCTCTTAATCAGAATAATTCAGGTTGGAAGGAACATTAAGAAGTCATTTCAACCTTCTGCTCAAAGCTAGATTCATTATGAGGAGAGACCATGTTGCTTAGGGTTTTATCCAACTGAGTCCTAAAAATCCCAAAAAAAGAGGCCTCCCACCTCTCCAGACACCTTTTCCACTTTTTGACTGTCCTCATGAGGAGAATTCTTTTCTTTTTATCCAGCCCAAACCTCTAGCTTGACTTTAGGTGCATTGCCCCTCATTTTCACACCAGGAGAGCCCAGCTCCATCTTTTTTTACAAGCTCCTCCTAAGCACTGTCAGGTTTCTACTGGGTTTCCCCTGGAGACACCTCTTGCCAGGCCAAACAAGCCCAGGCCCCTCAGCCCCTGCCCCAGGACAAGTTCTTCAACTCCCTGAGTATTTTGTCAGCTCTCTGCTGAATTTTTACCATTTAGCTCTACCCTCCTTATATTTGAAGCATCCAAAGGTAGATACAGATGTGTCCTGATGAATACTGAATCCCTTAATCTCCTGGGTGTGCTGTTAATACAAGAAACTGCTGACAGTATTTGCTGCCAGGTCGCACTGCTGGTTTATGTTCAGCCTCTTGCACCCCTAGGCTTCCTGGGCTGTGCTCAGCAGTGCTGCTTCCCAGCCAGCTGGTCCCAGTCCATATCCTTGGGAAATCCAAAGTGTACAGCAATATAGGTCAGAACACTGGAGGTCATCCAGTCAAATTCATTCTCAAAAGAAGGGGTAACCTCAAGCTTGGGTGAAGTGGCATCCATCATCTAAGCCTGAATCTCACAAATTACATACATAAAGCAATCCAGTCAGTTCTAAAATCTATTTCTAAATAAGTCTTTCCCACACTACGATTATTATTCTTATTTTCCAAGCACATAATGACCAATAAAAGCTGGTACTATAAAAAGATAAAGAGACAGCAGCTGCAAAATATAATGGAACCACTCAAAAATAATTATTTTATAATGGCAAGGACAGGGAAAGTGAAGGATTTTAGTGAAACATGTATTAGAGTGAATAACCAGACTCAGGCTCACTTCAGTTGCACTGGGAAGCAAATGCAAATTTAAGGCAGCTTTTGAGCACAACCATGAGTATAAGGAAAATCTTCAGAGCAGATAAAAATGATGCCCTGAAAGTGACCACAGCAACAATGATTATCCAGATTCCTCTCCCAGGCTCAGCATGTTTTCACAGTGAAGCTGCTCATGCCTCCCAAAGCTCAGGAAAGACTGCTGAAGACAGCCAGTACAGCACAGGACTCCATGGGAGCAGGCTGTGAGGCAGACAGGAGATTCAGAGGTGAGAGTCAGAGATGAGCTCCTGGGGAAACAAGAGCAGAACTCTGCAGTGGGATGTTACAAAGCACACAAATTGGGCTGTCAACACCTGTCACTAACCCCCACATATGACATGGTCACCTTGTACCTTTACCTTGACTGATGAGGTGGGGGCTACCTTATTCACTCACTCACACACCCTCTCACATCTTCTCCTGCAGAATCAATTTCCCTCAGCAGGAAGAATAACAGGCACTTCTGTGTGGTTTCTAGTACTGCAAAATATGATCTTTTGGCAAACATGTGTAAGGGCTATGACTAGGAACATAATTTAGCACTTAAATTTGAGATATCCTATTGTAAATAAACTTTTACCAGCCAGCTTGTTTTTTCAGCAACATAAACTTCAGATAAATGTTTGATTTTAGATCCTTTTCTATGTAAAGTAAATGAATTTTTTCTGTTGTTAAAAGGGAAAAAATTCCTTTTATCAACCAAGTTTTTTTTATCTTTTATCCAAACTGCTTGGATAATACTGTAGTGCAGAAGAAAATTACATAGGAATCTGAATCTTGCAACAGAAAACTGAGAGGGAGTTTTACAAACTATTTCAGTTACTTATAATAATGAGAACCAAAACATTTCTTTATTATTACTAGAATTATTATTATTATCATTACTATATAATAATGGTTAGTATTCTAAAAATTAGGCTCTAATTGTCATATACTGGTTCTTCAAAGGAGCTATAAAAGGACAAATACACAAGTTTTTTCCCTATAAAAGAGTAACGTATCTGTTCACTGCCTTCTAAGTATCTTCTGTTCACATTTCATTTTCCACTAAAAATAAATGAAAGAGAACATGTACTACACAAAAGATCTGGCAATACTTATGTATCTGCTACCATCTGCTGACAAACAGCATTATTGACTTTATCTTAGTCAGTCTTAAAGAAACAACTCCCATTTCCCTATAGGAAAGTTTCTGCTGATGCTACAGTGGCTGACAGTAACAGCTACATGAATTTTTAATTCAGCATGTTGTAGCCATAGTAAGGCAATAATTTCTTATCCACCCACTTTGTCTGCGTGACAGATTCACCCCTGACCAGCATATTCCACTCATATAGTTAATGACTGCATCCTGCATTCACTGAAGCCCTTCAGCTATTGCAGACAGTTTCTGAAGTCAACTACTGAGCAATTACACAAAACTCATTCTTCATTTACAAAACACAAAAATGTATTATTAGCCATAAGACTGTCCAAACAAGTCATGGAATGGGTCAGGCTGGAAGGGACCACATCAGGCTGGAAGGGACCACAATGGACCACAATCTGGTCCAACCCCCCGCTCAAGCAGGGTAATCCTACAGCACACTGCAGAGGATTGTGTCCAGATGGTTCTCTAATATCCCCAGGGATGGAGACTCCAGAGCTTCTCTGGGCAATCTGTTCCAGTGCCTGGTTACCCACATAGTAAAGAAGTTCTTCCTCATCTTCAGCTGGAACTTCCTGTGCATCAGTTTCTGCCCATTGCCTCTTGTCCTATTGCTGGGCACCACCAGGAAGAGCCTGGTCCATCCTTCTGACACTCTCCCTTCAGATACCGACAGACATTGATGAGGTCCCATCTCAGTCACCTCTTCTGGAGGCTGAACAGGCCCTCAGCCTTTCCTCATAAAAGAGATGTTCCCGTCCCTTAATCATCTTTGTAGCCCTCCATGGGACCCCCTCCAGGTGCTCCACGTCTCTCTTGTCCTGAGGAGCCCAGAACTGGACACAGCACTCCAGATGTGCCTCCCCAGGGCTGAGCAGAAGGACAGGATCACCTCCTGTGACCTGCTGGCAATGCTCTTCCCAGGGCACCTCAGGATACCTTTGGCCTTCTTGGCCACAAGGACACACCGCTGGTTCGTGAGCAGCTTGTTGGCCACCAGGACCCCCAGGTCCTTTCCATGGAGCTCTTCCAAGCAGATCAGACCCCAGCCCATGCAGCTCCATGTTACTGCAGTCTTGTTTTCCAATCTACAATGTGGGATAAAAATATCTTTTTTCCCCCCTAGTCTTAATTTTAAGACAATAATGGTAATTACCACCTTTCAATCACCTTACTTAATTTTACAACACTTCAAGTGAAAACCTTGATTAGCCTCCAGATACCATTTTTGTTGAGAAAAAGACTAACAAAAACCTAAAGCGAAAAAACTAAAAATGAAAAAAATCTTCAGTTTCAGGTATCACATATTAAATTGCAGAAGTTTGACAGTGAAGAGAGACCAGGTCACACTGATGACCCGTATCTGGCTATATGGTAAACTAAACTAAAAGAGCATCTGAAATACTTACTTATATATGCAATTCAAAACATTTGGAAAAAAAAAAAAAGCTAAAGCTTCACATCTGATAAGCTAAAATGTCAGAAAAAAAAAATCAATGAAAGCAGAATGTAGAGATATATACTAAAACAATGTTTGTTCAACAGATGTAATTCTTTAAATTAGATTTGGCTTTGTTAGGAATCTGAATTTGAAATGCTCTTTAAGTGGTAAGTCTTAAGAATAGTTGGTTCTTCCAGACCTAGGTGCGTTTAGCAAATGGAATTATAAATTAGAAGTTTAACCTGCCTCTTGTTCCCTTTCCATTGTAATATTTTAAATTTATTTCAACTTCCAAAGTTAAAAAATGTGTCCTTGAGCTCTGCTGTAGTGGCGGTACCAGGAGGGGGCCCCGCTGCCACTCGAGGTGGGCGGGGGTCACGGTGGGCTTCACTTGGGAGAGAAAAAGTGGTTTTCATTTGAATTAAGTTCCTGCCTGCAGAGCTCAGCTGTGTTTATGTTTAAAGAACTCCCAGCTCGGCTTAAACCTCTTTCTTCCTTGCACTTCCATCGCTAAAGCCAACCCTGGGTGTTGCTGACAGGAGACCAAAGCTAACACCAGTTCTGGGCCACGGACCCAGAGCGCCGAGCCCAGCGGGACCCACAGAGCGGACGGGGACAGTGGCGGCCGCCCCACGCCAACCGCTCAACACGCGACCCGAGCACCCTCAGGAGAAGGAGCCCAGGGATGTGGGGAGCCACCTCAGGCCGGGCTCCGAACCGCGGCACCATTGCCACTCCCCTCGCCTCGGGGAAGGCGGAGCCGCATCGAGCACCGCTGCCCCCTTCGGCCGTCGCCGGCAGGGGAAGCGGCGGCCGCCCGAGTCTCGCGAGAACCGGCGCTGCCGCCGCCATGGAGCCGCCGGTGCGCGGCCCGCCGGGGCTGTCGGCCGTGCTGGCGGTGAGGGGAGCGGGGCGCCCGGGGGAGCGGGGCTGTCCGGCGGGGAGGGGGGAGGCCTTTGCTGGGGGCGCGCTGCTTGCCGAGCCTGGTACGGGAGGCTGCGGGGCGCGGTCCGTGAGCGACGCCGGCCGTGCTCGGTCGCTGTGGCCGCCCGTTGTCCCGCCGCTGCCTGACCCGCTTTCCCTGTGCCCGCAGAGCACGGACTGGTCCGAGCCCTGGCTGCTGGGGCTGGCCGCCTTCCACCTGCTCTGCTTCCTGCTCACCTGCGCGTCCCTGCAGCACCGCCGGGTGCAGGTCGGCCACTTCCTCTGCATGGGTGAGTGCCCGTGCGCTGCCACAGCAGTGCCTGCAAGCTCGTATTTCCCCGCCAGCAGTGCGTGTGTCTGTCGATGATAATCTGCTATGACCTAAAAATATGTATTGCTTTTATTTCCAAGAGAATGTACGAAGTAGTGACTTAAAGCTCTGCCCTTGGTGAGAAAGTGGGATGAGCAAGGTTACTGCGTGGCCACTGCCGTGTGTATCACAGCTTCCCGATGAAGTGTTCTGTGCTGAAAAAGCACAAAAGAAATCGACTGAGAGCCAGCAGTTGCTTTGTACTCTGCCTTGTTTTGATGGTGCAGTTCGGTGAATACGGTCAGCTTTAGTTTCTGGAGCAAGTTCACGATGTGCCCTGCTGCCAGCCGTGATGATGGCATGAGGAAGAGCAAGACTGGCTTGCACATTGCATTAACAACTTGTGTTATCCCAGGGTTTATCAGCCTGAGAGTCCGCAGGGACCTTGCCTAGCCAAAGCACTCATGGCTGGCTGGCAGAGAACACTTACCAGCTTTGGTTTAAGACTACATGGATTTAGATTAGATCATGTATTATGAGCAATTTATTTTTAAAGAAATACCAAGTCTAATTTTTTTCTTTTATTTCTAGTGGGCTTAGTGTACTGTGCTGAATATATCAATGAATTAGCAGCCATGAATTGGAGGTAAATGTTTTCACTTTCATTTTTTGAATAAAATTATACATAACATAGTTATCACATACTTTTAAGAAATAATATTGATAGCATGCATTTATTGTACTGCTTAAAATCTGTTTATATGGATGCTTCTAAACTAACTCATCAAAGAACTGAGAGAAAAGCAGAGTGCTGTGGGTAAGGGGAAAAAAATGTGAACTATGGTGGATTTTTTGGGGTTTTTTTGGTGGGTTTTTTTTCTTTGTTTGGAGGGGATTTGGTATTCATGTTTAATAGTTGAAGAATCACTTCCCAAGAATACGACTGCTGCTTCATATACTTACTTCTATGTATTACAAACATTAATATTTGCCTGTTTTACTAAATGTGTATACCAGAATTAAACTGATGATTTATTTGATATTTTGAGCATTGACTTAATCTTTCCCTGATGTCACTGAAAGTTGCATGTTTAACACCACTTTATGCTGGCATCTAGTTGTAGTCATGTTTCAGACATACATGACCTAATTACATCTTTGCTACATTTATTACTTTTGTTATATTTTCTGATACAAGTAAGCAAAATAGCCAAAGTCATTTCAGGTGCTTCAGAATAAGCATGATTTGTGATGCACTCTTGTAGTCAGTCATGTTAGTTAGCTTTTACACAGTAAAACTGTAAAGAAGAGAAAGACTGATGTTAATATTCATAACTGAAGAAGTATCAACTGCCTCTTTTCTTCTGACTTAATGCAGTAGAATGCTGGCCTGTGCTTGGTGATCCCAAGATGTGGGATGATGTGTCCCTGTAAAATAGTTGCTGGGAAAGTTGAATGTGTGAACTATACTAAATAAAACTTTGTCTTTCATTTTCTTTTTATTTCTTTCAGGCTCTTTTCTAAATACCAATACTTTGATTCAAGAGGAATGTTCATTTCACTTGTATTTTCAGCGCCACTGCTGGTGAATACTATTATAATTGTGGTATGTATGTGTTCATTGATATAGATGCTTTCAGTAAATGAGTAAGTAATGTATATGAATTAGTTGAATTTAATAATTTACTTGCTTTTCAGGTCTCCTGGGTTTACAGAACTTTGAATGTAATGACTGAACTAAAGATGCTACAGCAGAGAAGGAAAGTAGAAAAAGAGAAAAAGAAGTGAAAGTGCCAAACTTTTTCTTTCTTCGGTTGCAATAATGCCCATCTGGATAATCAGTCCTTCTGTAAGGAAGGAACAGAAATGTTTTTGTGTCTGGTGTCAAGAGGACTTTGTGACTGTGGCTGTGGGCATTGAGGTGAAAGCAGGTATCTACAGTACATTTGAATTGGCTGTGAAATTATGAAATCAGTCTTAACAAGTCCTTGTGCCCTTCAGTGTACGATTGTTTTCCTCCATGACCAAGGCTGTTAGTATTGATGAGACACAATCTTCCAGTTTCCATTTGCCTGTCTATTTTTTTACTATGTCTTTATTCTGTGCTTATCAAGTGTCAGTTATTCTGCTGCTTAAGCCAATTGGAGCTGTGTTGTGAATTACAGTAAATGAGAGATTTTATTCAGAATAACTCAGGAATCCATGCTTCTGTGAAGCACTTCACTTCTTTATAAATCAAGTTTAATACTTCCTGTGTGTACTGTGTGCCAGTGGCATTTTATAAATAAAACTATCCACCTACTGTATCTTAAATTGAGTTGATTTGTATTCATTTTTAATCAGACTTTTTCCTTCTTTTTGTCTTGTTAAAATTCCCAGTTTGGCAAATTTTCCAAGTTTAATTTGTGTAAATAATTAAAAATTATCTCTGCATTTCTTTCTATTTATACTTCATGTTTTTAAGGCTTCTAGATAAATACATTTTTTAAAACTGAATGAAAATTTGATTGTTTTATGCTTCTTTATAGAACAGGAAGAAAGAGAAGAAACGTAGTAATGTTATGCACAATTTGTTCCCTTTTTCATGCTTTTTAAAAATAAATAACTGAAAATTACAAATAGGTAAAAATGAAGAAGGCTTTAGTTTTGCTTCAAGTAGCCTGTTTTTATTATTCAATGCTAATAATTGAATTAGGTTAATGAATAAGGTTGAATTGAATAATGTTAATTGAATAATTAAGGTTGAATTGAATAAGGTTAATTGGAGAAGGGGTGTGGACACAGTGGAGATTGTCCATATTTAGTAAAAGTTGTATCTTTGTGTGGAGATGTACTGTTCTGTCTAAAATAGCTGTCATTTAAGACAGGAAAGGTGATCTACAAAACTGATCTTATACTAATGTGAAAAACATTTGGGTACAGAATTGCAGAACACTAGTAAGTTTATAAGCCAAGGAAGTATTTATGGAACTGATTTTAATTACTTGAATTAAAGTAATTTACAAGAGTGGAGATGGGGACTTGACGAAGAGAGCAGATGCATGTTATGCACAGTTTGCAAGTCTAAATAGGGACAAAGTGAACCTCTGCTGAAAGGGCAGTGAAGTGTTAGTGTTGGATCCATTTCTTTACATTTCCCATACCTCTTTGGCATTCCTTTACCCACTCTGCTCCATCCAGCCACAGCTGCTGGCAGCTAGGCTATTTTATAATAGCAAACTTAATAGATGCAGGTTTGTGGTCTTGAGTTCTGACCGTTCTCCTGCGACTCTTGATGCAGTTTTGGGTGGTGTCAACTGTATGGAGAAATCTCGAGTGCTCTGATAGATATTGTGTGCTTTTTGGGAAGGAGTGAAAGGAGTCTGTCCAAATGCCTGCCAGGTGGGCTGTGGCAGCTGTCACCAGGACCAAGGAACCAGGACCTTTTTGATTTCATATACACAGGATGTTGTCCTGCCAGGCTGGTTTATAAAAATTCAGCCTTGCTCCTACAGTTTGCTGGGGAGACGTGCAGTTTTCACACATGGCCTTAATGATGACCACTCAAATGATGTGCTCCTGACTTTCCCGGTGATAACTGTTCTGCAACAAATCAGTGCACAATTGTTTTAGTATCACACACTTGAAGCTGTAATACTTCATATGGAGATAACACCTGTTATCAAGTAACCTTCATTTCACAGTGTGAAGTGGATGAATTTGATTCACAGTAAGTGAGGAGGTTCAGACCAGCTGAGCAACAAGTCTTGCAGTGGAAAAAAACAGTGTGCCTTATTTAGTACATCCAAGGCCAATTTTCTCTAAATAGTTTGCTATTTTGCCTATCTTTTGTGTAATGTTGGTAAAAAGATGGATAATACTTGGTTTCAAAAGCATGATGGCATTTTTTTTTGTGTTCTAGAAGTATTGCTTTATGAAAGCATAAACAACTCCAAATTCAAAAATTGTATCAGTATTTTTTTGAAGGATGAGTATCTCAAAATTGTGAGTTTAAAACCTTCCCTGACTCCTGGAACTACAATAAAAAACAGGCAAGATAAATTTTCACAAACACAAAAATGTGGTTTCCGTATACCACAAAAACACATGGGTTGAAGGTGACCCTGAAGATCATCTAGTTCTGACCCACTGGCCATGGTCAGAATTCTACCCACTAGACTGGGTGGCCAAAGATCCAGTCCTGCCTGGCCTTGAACACTGCCAGATTGCAGCATCCACAGCTTCTCTGGGCAACCAGGGCCTCGCCATTTTGTGAGGTAGACTTTCCTCCTAACAGCTAATCTAAACCTGTCCTCTTCTAGTTGAAAGCTGATCTCCTTTGTTCTATCACTACATGTCCTCATAGAAAGCCGTTCCCCCTCTTTTTTGTAAATACCCTTTAATTACTGAAAAGCTGCAAGCAGGTCCCCTTGGAGTTTTCTCCAGGCTGAACATCTCTAGATGACACTCCTTCCTTCTTTGTGTCACCTGCACCACTCAGCTTTGTGTAATCTGTAAATTTGCTGAGGTTGCACTGGATCTCGCAGTGTAATTGTTAAAGCACTAAAGGGTCAGTGTCAAGACTGGGGCTGTGAGGGACACCACTTGTCACTGGCTTCCACTTGGATGTAAGCAATTGACTACAATCCTCTGCTTGTGTCCAGCCAGTTTCTTACCCACAGAACAGTCCACACTTCATGTCTCTCCAGTTCAGTGATGACGATGTGTGGGATGGTCACAGGCCTTGCACAAGCCTATGCAGATGACATCTGTCCATTCCCCTGTTGACTGTTGCAGTCACTCCATCATAAAAGGCCACTGGATGGGTCAGACACAATTTGCCCTTAGTGAAGTCTTTTTGGCTGTCTTGGATGACTTTCTTCTCTTGCATGGACATGTGTGTTTGTCAGAAAAAGATTCCCATTTTCTACATTTCAGAAAGATTTAAATTTATCTGTCATCTTCTCTACCTAAACTTACCTAAAAAACACTGAGTTTAAGAGCGAAGTTTTTTGTTGGTTTGCTTTGTTTTTTTGGTTTTTTTTTCCTAAGTAGGTATCATAAACCATAAGAGAAACCATCAGTGAGTGAAGCATGACTTCTTTTCATCATGAGTCTGGATTTATGATGTGATAGTGCAATAACATTAAGTATGGGCCTACTTGCTGACAAACCAAAATAATTACATCATGAATTTAGAGGCTGTTGGGCCTGCTTAGAATTTGTGTGTGTAAGTGAGGGAGAGCCAATTGTTTAAGATTGGTGAAATACTTCTGCTTTTAATTGGGAAACCTGAATTTAGGTTGCTTGTGAAAGAGCCAGTAATTTCCTTTCCAAACATACATACAGATAACTGGTAGCTGCTCAACTGGATCCTTTGGAGAGTGAGACAAGACAGAGGTGATTTGTTACTGGTTTGTGTATCTCAAAGGCAGTGACTCAGATCTTCAGCCCACCATAATGTGTCTTTCCATGACAGCACATGGTGTCAGCTTCATGGAAAAACTTTACAACGGAGAAAGTAATATTAACCTGGCAATTTTGTCGTAGTAGAAGGTAATTTTTCTGCACTGTGAAATAAGGATAATCTGTGAAAAGACAGATTATCAGAAATTAATTGGCAAATTTGCTGGAGTTTGAGGTTGGCCTTGTTTCCCATGAAAAAGTAATAACTGAGATGAGTTTCTAAAAATGGGAACCTACAATGATCTCTTTTTCCATATCCATTGTAATATCATGTTCTTAATGTAGGATGTATTTTAGCCTTGTTTTGGTCCAACGAATCTCATGATAGCAGATAAAATGGAACAGATTCAATAAGGGATTTTAAATGTCTCTTCCTCAGCAGTATTTCCTAGCTTTGTAGATACGTTGATCTCCATCTCCAATAAAAACCTCACCTGTCTCCAAAAGACACAGAAGGGCACTGAATTGAGGTCTTCTACATCCTTGAGTGTATAAACAAAAAACTTTGAAGTAAAGTCTTAGTGCTTTTCAACAGCTGGGTCTTGAAAGGAGGGATCCACTCTAGAAAAGCTGTGTTTGAGTTAGATGGTGATCTGCTGGGGCTGTGAATCCCAAATGGAGTTTACAATGAATGGCTTTGTGGGTGTTGAGAATCGTAAGCTCCATTTTTATAGGAACTGAGATTTTCAGGAAAAAGAGGAGTAGGGATTCTTTGTCTGAACAAGATAGAATACAGCTGTAGTGTAGGAAATGTTGTATTTCTTCAAATACAGCTAAACATTTTGCATACTTTTATTGTAAGCTTGATTAAATGTTCTGGATGCAATCCTGTAGAATGTGCTCTAGGGTGACCCTGCTTGAGCAAGGAGATTGGCCAAGGTGACTCTCTGTGGTCCATTCCAATGTGACCCATTCTGTGATTCTGTCATTTTTCACTTCAGGTGAACACAGCATTTTTATATTTATTGTATCTAAGTATGGGGTTTTTTGTTTGTTCAGGGAACAAAAAAACTGTGTATATTTCTCTACTGAAGTATTTTAAAATATTTTAAAATAGGTTTGAAATATTTTAACGTGTTTCAACTAAATAAAAGTATTGACGTTTTTCTGTCCATCAGGGAAGAGATCAGTGCAAGCAACGAAACTCACCGCTGGATGTCACTGTCTCACATGCAAAAGCGGACTCAAAGCTTTTCTTTTGAGAAGGTTCCGTAGCACTTTCCACCATAGCTTCATAAATACTGCAGCATTTTGGAATGACCAGGAAACCTTGGAGTGTAGCCTCTGAACACATAAACAGTTATCTGAACCCTAAGATACATCTTGAGCCACTTTCAGGTGTTTCTTGAAACTCTTGCTTTTTACATTTAAAAGGAGCAGTGATGAGGTGCATATACATTTCCAGAGGCAGAAAGTATTTATGTGTTTTAAAATTTCTTAATGCATCAAGGGAATAAATACCCTATTCGTTCACACCAAAATTTCATGAGGAGGATTATGTCTTCAACCAATTAAAAAGTAATATAACAATGAAAAATAACTACCTTATTGTCTGACCAGGAAAGTTTCCTGAAGCAATGTAGTTCACAAATGGATGGAGCTGCTGCATGTCCTCTATTTCTTTGTGATTTACCATTGCATAATGCAGTATTAACATGTCTGTCCTTGTTATGTGGCAGCTGTCAGTCACTTACAGTCATGACTGAGGTTCTCAGAAGTCACTTCAGACTTTCTCCGCCACCAGGCAAACAGTGCTTTGGAGTATTCAGAGGCTTTGTGACTTCATATGAGAAGGTCTGTGTGCAGTGTTCTCCACTCAGTGTTCTTTGTGTATCAGATTTTGAGCCTGGTGTTTTTTATCTTTGCTA